GTCCTGGTTTTGAAGTCCTGGTCAGCGTTTGTGATCATGTCAGGACACCATATACGCTCAAACATACCATGCCACCTGGGATTTATGTCCATCATAGTTGGTGCGCAATCCCAAGTACACAGTGGCGTTTACAGAGGTGGCCGCCAGAAGGGCAGCGAAGCTGAGAAGGGAGAACTGCATTTTGTCTGAAGCGAGACGCTGATTATGATCTGGTCTTGTTGTTTGGACTGAATTGAGTCTGATGATGCTGTTGTTGAGATCGAGTTCGCTGTGGGTAATGGGCTGCTTTTATACCTTTGCAGTCAGCGATGAAGATATATTGATGGTATAGTTCACCCTCATTTTGTCAATCCTGAGAACAGGGCCAAAGGTTTGATCGATTCTAATCATGCAGTGGGTGTACCATCACCACCTTCGCCCCCTGCATCCAGACCACTTTCCCTTTGGGGAAACTGGTCTACTGGATGCTGACAGACATCGATTTCACGGGGGTCACCTGACGCTTGAGGCTACGAGACGGACTGACGCTGCAGCATCGCAAGTTGAGTTCTACGGCTGTAAATCGTTGCTTCCATGAAAATCGCCCCATTGTGGAGTATCGCAGTCAGCGAAGATGTCACAATCCGTCAAATATGCATGTGCATACAGCGTGTCATTGGAGTCTTCTGTATCGACGTCGAGTTCCTCCAAGGAGATTGCCCACAAGGTATGATGAAGCTGCAGGTGTTCGGTGTTCCTCCCCCAGCTCTCTATTGGCAACGGCCTAGACTCAAATATTTTCTGACGCGCCTCAGCCTCACACAATCATGCAGTCATGCAGATCGTGTTAATGCCCTCATATTTCTAGCTGCTTGGCGATTAATCATCATAAACACGATGATTAATCACAAAAGGCATCGGCGCCAGGCTCATATCAAAGAAATAATCCTATTGCCCTAGTTGCAGCGCTGGGTTCCACTCTTAATTGGGTAAACTGTAGCACACTGATGTAAGAAGATCTTCTGGATGGTAAGTGACGATCAAGGGTTCTATGCAGTCGAAGTCTCATATCTTGGCTTTCCGTGTGACAGCAAGTCAGCCTGTGCATACGGCGTTGCCGAGTCACCTTATATTAATCAAATCTTTCCCAGCTGGGATGCTATTGGTCGGTCTCAAAAAACGTAGTGTCTCAAGGGACTGCCAAGTTCAATAGCTCTCTCTAGCTTAATGCATGATGTGCCCAAAGTACTAGCGGGAACGAAGTCCAATATCCGAGGGGGATTTGAGATGTAATCTATATCGCTAGTATATTTACAAGTCTGTCTAAAAATACATGCATGAAGTACACTGGCTCATGTTGACTTCGTCTCCGTTGTCTTTTCAGCAGCCGATTCTGATTCCGACTTCTCCAGCTCCCAACCAGGAGCAGTAAGCCCGCGCTCTTTGAACTCTTCATCGCTGACGATCTTTACCATCCGGAACTTCCATTTACCGAGCTTCAGAAGCAAGAGGTCCCCGTCGATGATGAACTCTTGCGTCTTTTCTGGAAGCCAAGTCTCAATGGGCGTGAACGCCAGATCATCAGACATGGGCCCACTGTCTCCTGGGCGACTTCCCACATAGGCGCCCTTATTGGCGACAATGCGATGGCCTTCGCTTTTAGAGGAGACCAGTCCTGCATGCCACAGGATTTTGTGGAATGGCTGATTATAGACCAGGGAGTGGGGAAGCGTGACATGAGGGCTGCCCATGTTGGCGAAATTGGTCTGGGGAGCGTATTTGTTCCCAGACTGAGGATTGGCATAGCTTGCAGTGGGCGAATTTGCATGGCTGCTAGGCGGGGTGGTCACCTTGGGCATAGGACTAGGTTCAGCCGTCGAGGAGCGTGGCCGGAAAAGTTGACGATGTTGTAAAGCAACTGCGTCAGCCTCTTCCTTCCCGTGAATCAGCTCCAAGAATTCGGTAGCCAGTGTATGCTGAGCAATTCGCTTCGAAGGATCTTTATTCTGTTCTTCCATGATGTCGGCAATCTTAGGCAAAGGCAGGAACGTGAACAGCTTCAGATAGCGCTCAACAACGTCGTCTGGTGTTCGGACGAAGAACTACGCAAAGTTAATGATTCCTGCCCGTGCCGTCTAGGATCTAGATGGGCTCACCTGGTAAAGCTCGAACGTAGAAGTCATGTCCTTGTCCAGCCAGACGGCATTACCAGCGGACTTTCCGAACTTTTCGCCATTCGTGGCTGTCAATAGTGGCGTAGTGAACCCAATGGGTTTGTCTAAATCATCTTCCAGGGGATTCCGGTCCTGTTCTATCGCAGTATTCTTGCTGATCGACTTCACGGCGTCCATGCCGAAGAGGATATTCCCATATTGATCGGAACCTCCCACTTGCACCTGAACACCTTTTCGGAACAGCACCCACCAGTCCCATGCCTGCAGTAGTGGATAAGTAAACTCCGCAAAAGACATTCCGTCTCCTTTGGTCATCCGGTTTTTCACACTATAGTCATCGAGATCAGTGATCGTATGGCCGACCGAATGAAAGATAGCAATTAGACTCACGTCTCTCTACCCAGCATGGGACCAAGCCGCGTATGGGCGCCCAGGTCCCGTAGCACTTCCAAGAATGATGTCGAATTCCACCATGTGTTGTTGTTCACCAAAGCTCGCCGCCAGATCTTGTCTTTGTAATATCCGTGTTTCTTGCCGTATTGCTCCACAGAGGCGCCCAGCTTTTTCAGCTGCATGTGCATGCTCGCCATATTTGCTTTCCGGACCGAAGAATCCATCGCCTCTCGTCCTTTCAACCTCCCCGTGGGATCACCGATTCTAGAAGTAGCCCCGCCAAGCTGTTGTGTATCAGCCATGATGTCCACGTCGATTCAGGCGTCAGGGCGAGGCAGGACTGACCAGATAGGTGACAGGTAGACCCCAGACATAACCCCAGGCCAGCACCATGAACGGCAGCATATGGCCAACATGTAGGGATGGAGCTGTTGGGTCTACTCCGACATAGATCCCGACTCTCTTCTCCGTAAAAACCCGGTGTAGTAAGTCGCGCTCTCTGTAGTTTCGAGTCGAGTTTCCATCAGCTACTACAAGGACAACTTGGCGGCATTCAGGTACCACTCACCCAACGACATCATGGATCAGCCCTCTCTCTTCTAGATGTTCAACGAAGCTTTTCCGCTTGCCAGCCTTAATCTCCGCAGCGAACTGAGCCCACTGCTCCTCCCCAGCTTTCACCTTCTGTATGTGTTTCTGGGTGATCCACCTTCTCGACTCCCTCACCGGGGATCGTATCGATGAATTGACAAAGACCCGGTTTTCTTGAGCATTTAAGGAACCTTTCCGCGCAATCTGAGCAGTTCGCATGTAGCTGCGCGCACCGTAGCCCGTCTGCATTGTTGTCTTTAGAGTAACCGGAATGCGCAAGCGTCCTGCACGAGGCAGAGACAACAATTGCGGCTTCATTGGACCAATCTGGAACTGGCACTCAATTAACCGCATTCACCTTGCGGTTAACTGGTTTCAATGCGGGTCAGCGAAGCATATAACCCGGCCTCACGGAGTACGAATTTATCACTATCGGCGATGATAAGAAGACGATCAACTGCTCCCTCCAACGGATAAATATTAATGCGGAACTGCTCCGACACAAACAGGGTTCAATTGTCGTAAATAACTACGTTGAGCTTAGGATCAAATGGAAATACGGATTTTCTCTTACGCAAGGCCGCCAAGTAAGAAGATCAAAAAGACTATGTTTCTACGGTTAGGGAAAATAGTAGCTGGAGGGAAGGTAAACGTGTTGAATAGGTATACTGCTGTGAAACGTCTTAAAAGGTCGGTAGCGCAAAAGAGGGAATGGTCAAATTAGGTAATCAATTGCAGGGTACAATTATTTCATCTAGTCTAGCATTGCGAGTTCATTCTCATGTCCGAAGATTCCTATCATGAATGTGTTACGGCACCACAAAGGGGCAATATCACATTTCTAGGATCCTAGGTCACATGGAAGCTCCATGGAGGAGCAAACACCACCAAGTAATGTATTTGGGATCAGAGATGCCTTCATCGCGTCCGTCGAAGTAACAAGGAGATGTGCCGAACGCCTTTATCATCCTCCCTCCGTCCCGAGTCAAGCAGCCCTTGAACCCCGAAGGGAGAGCCACAAGGCTCAGAGAGGAGCGATAGATCAAATATAACACACTAGGCTTTCATCATCTGAGAGGATATGTTAAAAAATCATTCTGTGCGATTCTCGTAGCGGAACTTGAGAGCTATAACTCACCTGTACAAAACTTGGAAGGATGAAGAAAAAAGGAAAATAACTAGTGTGGATCTTGGAGGTTTTATATTTTCTGGTGGGCTAGGAGACGCTATTCCCAATCGAATGAGCGGTACATTTCTGCCGGATAAGCTTGCGATACCTTCAACAATGTGGAGATCCGACTGGATGTCTTTCGATCATGGTTGAATTTGAACTCAATTTGGAAAGCAGTTAATACCAGCTCCATTGCCCTATTGGAGAGCCTATCTTAATACAGCCTTTTATAAACTTTCCGCCCAGCCCAGCTCGGTATGCTTCTGAGCAATGTGGGACGTTATTCACCTCGTCTCCGCACGAGCTATATTGAAATCTCCAATTACCTCCGCAGTCGGCCGTCAGGACTGCGCAATGGACTGAACACTCCCTCTTCTGTTAGGACATTTCACAGGAGACATCGCCTCCTGTTTGAACAGCAAGACCATGCTACTCCACCTCGACACTTTTTGGAGCAGTATAAAAAAGCCGGTATGAACAACCGTCCTGTCGCATTTTATCACAGTTCTCGTTCTGCACAGAGTTAAATGCTAAGGTTGTCTGATATAGTTGAGTTCCCACCGGCCACGAGTGATTTCGAGACCTTCCTCGCAAATGCATCTGCAGGGCAGGAGGTCCAGCTTCATGGATACCTCGGACCCCGCTCCGACCTTTCCAAAAAGCTATCTTTTGCTCGCCTGACAGATCCTACCATGAAATACAGCATTCAGCTTGTCTCGTTCATTAAGAATAGCCCTCTCGAGAAGCTGAGGTCAATTAATGCGAATAGTCCAGTGGTTGTACGCGGCATCGTACAGCCGAAGAAGGGAAAGGGATCGGATACCGAGCAAAGCGACTGCTGGGAGGTGCACATTGCGGACATTGATCCTCTGAATGAATTCCCTAAAGACATTATCATGACTGCAGAGACTGCATTTGCTCCGGAACACAGATATCTTCAACTGCGCTCCGACAGTGAACTCCGGGACGCCCTGCGATTCCGCGCCCAAGTTCGCAATATATGCAGGGAAGAGCTGGAACAATGTCGGCCTCCTTTTGTGGAGATCGAAACGCCTCTTCTTTTCAAGTCAACACCAGAGGGTGCTCGCGAGTTTCTGGTGCCGACTCGGAGGCGTGGTCTGGCTTACGCCTTGCCTCAGAGCCCTCAGCAATATAAGCAGATCCTCATGGCAAGTGGGATACCAAGGTACTACCAGTTTGCGCGCTGTTTCCGCGACGAAGATCTCCGAGCGGATAGACAACCAGAATTCACTCAGGTGAGCATTGGATCTCGTTGTCCACCTTCATACTGTGATCTAACATAAGCTCCTCGCTCAGCTCGATCTGGAGATGTCTTTCGCTACAGGAGAGGATGTTATGCGGACAGTTGAAGGCATAATCCGCAGGCTTTGGTCCTTTTTGATGAAAGACGAGGCCCCCTCTGGACCTTTCCGGAGAATGTCATACCAGGACGCAATGAGCCGCTATGGGTCAGACAAACCCGATACAAGATTTGGAATGGAGATTTTCAAGATCGACTATCTTCTACCTGTCGACCTGGTCAACAAGATCACTCCGTTGACCGACCCCATCATTGAGGCCTTCAAATTCGAAGGCAACGACAATGATCCCGTTGCCACCTACGAGTTCATCAATCAATTCCTCGACTCCCCAGCTGGTGCTCCATTTAACAACAATCCTGAAGGTGGCCCGGGTGTCTTCGTGTACGACGCCAAGAAGCCTTTGTGTGGCCTCCAGCCATTCGGTTTTGAAGCTGCTGAACGCATTGAGGAACTCCTGGACCCCGATCACGGCGATCTGATTGTCATCCAAGCCCGTGAAAGAGCCCCCTTCGCCGGTGGCTCCACTCCAATTGGCGACCTTCGCCGCGCACTCCACACCGCTGCAGTCTCGTCCGGATTCAAGCCCGCTCCCACGGGGTTCGACTTCCTCTGGGTGGTCGACTTCCCCCTATTCTCGCCCTCCAGTGATTCGGAACCAGGCCAAGGCGGTGCAGCGGGCATCTCATCCACACACCACCCCTTTACGGCCCCTAAGACCGCCGCAGACGTCGACCAGCTCTTGACGGATCCCACAAAGGCGGTGGCCGACCACTACGACCTCGTCGTGAACGGAGTCGAATTGGGCGGTGGCAGTCGCCGTATCCACGACGCAGCCGTGCAAGAATTCATCCTCCGAGATATCCTCCAAATGAGGCCCGAGAGGCTGGCCGACTTTTCCCATCTGCTGGATGCCTTGCGGGCCGGTTGTCCGCCGCATGCTGGACTGGCGCTCGGCTTCGACCGGCTCGTCGCTGTCATGCTGGGCAAGGAGTCGGTGCGGGACGTCATTGCATTCCCTAAGACGGGCAAGGGTGGCGATGATGCCATGGTCAAGGCTCCTAGCATGATGACGGAAGAAGCATTAGAAACTTACCACCTTCGTTTAAAGGATGAATGAGTGTATGAAGATGCAGTTGCCGCAAGCCGCTCAACGGAATTGTACATTAGTATAGACGTGATACCCAATCTCTTCTCACAAGCTTTTTGGGGGCGATCTGTAAATAGATGTCCTATAGATACATCGATATAGTCTTGGTTTAGGTGCGAGTAGATTGTGATACAGAACTCAATCTTATCAGTTGGGGTAGAGGTGCGTTATAGCGACACCCCCTCTTTTAAGGTGCCATAAAGAAAACTACCTGAATCAGTCCAAGTTGAGGCTATATCTACACGTTGGGGTCCTCATGGGTGAAATTTAAAAGAAATTGTTATACAACGACGCCAGCCTCCCATGCCAAAAAGGCTGTCTAGTATAATAAAGTGCTGTAACAATTCAATATCAGTGTCGAATTGCGCTGATAAATCGAAAGGAAGAATCACGAGCTACTCGTCTTCGCAGGTATCATCCTGCGCTCCACCTCTGCCACTTCATCCTCATCCTCGCAGAGATAGTCGTCCTCGTCTTCCACAGGCTGGCCGAAAATATTGTTCCAAACACCATCCCAGAGACCTTTCTTCGTGACCAGACCACCGACAAGGAGGATTGGCAGCTGCCAAATACTGGCCCAGAAGAGGCTTCGAGCACTGCCGTTGGCGCCCTGATGCCGCCAGAATTTGTAGGCCTCTTTGACCAGCCAGCCGTTGGCAACGGTGCTTCCAACCAGGAAACCATTACCGACAACCCCCACCCACCAGAGACCGATGGAGAATGGAAACATGAGAATAGAATATCGTAGTGCGACACGGGCATTTGCGGCGGGATTAGTCCAGGCGAGCATCCTGTACCCGGCTGCCTTGTACTCCTCGCGGATCATGTAGGACAAAGCATTGAAATGAGGAAATTGCCATGCGAAGAGAATGCCACCCAGGAGCCAGCCACCGATGCTGTCCTTGCTGAACAACATATCCCGCCAGCTGTCGTGGCCGGTGGTTGCTGTCTGGCCTGCCGCAGCGGTCCAACCCATCAACGGAGGAATGCCTCCTACCACGGCGCCTACCCAGGTGTTGATCACGGATATACGCTTCAGCGGTGTATACACGAAGGCATAGAGACAGATATTACTGGCGGAGAGCGCGGTAGTCGTAGGGTTCGTTCCAATGTATAGCAAACCGAGACCTGCAGCAGCAGTCGCAATCGCAAATAATACCGCAGCACGGCGTGAGAGCAGCCCGCGCACTAACGGCCGGTTCCGTGTCCGTGACATGAGGGCATCGTATTTAGGTTCCAGGAGCATATTCAAGGTATTGGCGCTGCATGAAGACAAGAAGGTTCCTGCGGTCAGGTAGAGAAAGGTCAAGGTTGAGGTCGAGAGGGTCGGTAGAGGAGTCATTGAAGGGTCAAGTGTGAGAAGAGAGGAGATCGGGTACATCCCATATGCGGAGGTAGTCGTCAATACGATCAGGAACGAGAGACGAGGCTTCGTGAGGGCGAGAAACGCGGCCAACTTGCGGCGCAGGGAAGTTGCAGGGAGGGCTGATGAGAGGGTGGACAATTGCGACGAGGCATCAGGAGGGAGTTCGGTTTCTGCAGCACTATTCTTGGCCGCCTCTTCCTTTAACCGCTTCCTCCGGCGATGAGGTAACTCTTGTGAGGTAGATTGTGAAGCAATCGACTCCGAACCGACTGCATCCTGTGATAATGTATTGTCGGCAACACTTCGAGGGGAGCTATTGGCGGCGGATAAGGATGCCAGTAAGCCATCTTTGTCCGTGGAGCCGTCTGCGGTCCGATTGGCAGAGAAATAAGTCTTTTGAATAGTCAAGGGGGTTGGTTCATGATCGGCAATGCCAGCCCGCAGCCGAGATGAGGAGAGGAAGCTGCGAACTGCGACAGGTCGCCGTGCTGGTGAGAGTCGTGAGAAGCATTGGGAACACAGGCGAGCAGGATCTCGCGCCAATCCAGACCTCAGCAACGAGGACCGGAGAAGAATCATGGCGGAAGGAACATGGATGGAGGGATATTGAAATCACGATAGGACGATCTAGATCATGAGATAGATGAATCTCGGAAGAGTCGCGATTGACGGAGCAGAAATTCCCCGGCGAGGCACAGAGACCACAACCGCAGGAATGTACCATACCGCCCCGATAGTTGTTGTTGCTCTTAAGAACCATCGTGCTCCGTTGGCAGGTTCCTCCTCAACCAAAGCCCTGAAACGTCCTTTGCCCTTTAGACTCTCGCCATGGATACGCTTCAAAAGGTCGTTATTGACCCTCTTCAACCCGTTCTCCGTCCTATCTCGTCCGCTCTCCCGCAACCTGTCCACGATGTCATCATCTCCTTGATCGGATCGCCATGCCACAGCGCCCTCCTCCTCGATCTTGATGTCACCAAGGATGCTGCCTGCACGTCTCTTGCTATCTCCAAGGCTCTGGGTATTGCTATCGTGGGTGCAAGTGCCATCGTGAAGGTTCCGCAGATCCTCAAGCTTATCCGCTCGCGATCCTCCGCTGGCGTATCCTTTGTCTCCTACGCCCTCGAAACCGCCAGCCTGTTGATCACTCTTTCCTACGGTGTGCGCAACCAGTTCCCGTTCAGCACATACGGAGAGTCTGCGTTGATTGCAGTGCAGGATGTGATCGTTGGGGTTCTGGTTTTGACCTTTGCGGATCGCCCTACAGCTGCTGCGGCCTTCATTGCAGTGGTTGCCGCCAGTGTGTATGCGCTGCTCTTTGATCAGACCCTGGTGGATGCGCAGACCATGTCGTATCTACAGGCTGGTGCTGGTGCGCTCGGTGTGGCCAGCAAGGCGCCTCAAATCTACACAATCTGGCGCGAGGGAGGAACCGGACAGCTGAGTGCCTTTGCGGTAAGTTTTTCTGTCTAGTGATACCTGGGGATACGCGATTGACTTGTAACAGGTGTTCAACTACCTCGTCGGTTCCCTTTCTCGAATCTTCACCACGCTGCAAGAAGTCGACGACAAGCTCATTCTTTATGGGTTCATTGCTGGGTTTGTCCTGAACGTTATCCTGGCGGCACAGATGGTCTACTACTGGAAGAGCCCGGCGCAGCCCAAGAAGCGACCTGCTCGAGCCTCTAGACCACTGGAAAAGATTCCTGCTGCTGAAAGCACAGGAGTATCGCCCAAGCCCTCGGCCAAGTCGCCCACCACACGCAGACGGGGTTAGATTAAGTCGCTTTGACAATTCTCATCAGAATGCCTGAATACAATTTTTAATGTCGTTGAAACCATTCCCGCGTACTCTAATTGACGGTCAAGTGCTCGCAGCCATCAGCGCTGCGTCGGCGGTATCCCCGTAGTCATATACCGTAGAATATCCTCCAAGGGAACCGCAGGCCCAGCTGCTTTCTGCTGCTGCTGCTGCCGTGACCCCGGCGTAGGCGCCGCAATATCAAACTCCAATCCAGCGCCCGCACCAGACCTACGTCGTACCCCAACAACCTCCATCTCTTCCTCCTCCCCCTCCCCCTCCTCCTCACTCTCACTCTCACTCTCCTCCTCATCCTCATCCTCCAACTGCCTCCTCAACCCAGTAACCACATTCTGAATCCCCATCTCCCTCTCTTCCAACGTGAAGTTCCCACCCCAGTTCCTCCTCCTCGCCTCCTGGTTCGCCTCGACAGGCGCCCAATCCCACAGCTCCGCCAGCGCACTTTCACTCAACGCACCCCGGTCCTCAAGCGCAGACGCCCCCGCCCGCCGACCGCGCGATACCCAGTCCTCAACCCTTGGATCAAGTTTCGTGCGGAGGAGTTGCTCAAGTGTCGGGGCCTGCGTGCGGCCGGGGTACGAGGGGCCCGGGTAGGCGACGAGCGCGGAGAGGAGGTCTTTGTTATCGGAGAGATGCTCAGAGATGCTGAGGAGGTTATTTGATATGATGCCTGCTTGGGATTGGAGCGAGGACCTGCTTCAGTTAGCATTTTGCACTTGGATGCGGTTGTTGAGTTGGGGTGGGTGTACCATGATGGAAGCGGGTCGCTTTGGTTTAAGCTGCCAATTAGAGAGGCTAGGGAGCGGGTGAGCTGGACGAGCCGTTGGCGGGATTGTTCGAGGGTTTTTATTTGGTCTTGGTTTAGGGATGCCATATTGCTTTGAATTAGAAGTTCGGACTGAGCCGTGATGCCGTTGAGATATGCGGCTGGGACGGTGACGGAGAGGTGCAGACAGCGATAGTCGGATAGCTGGAAGGTTGGCTATTGGCAACCCCACAGCTACCGTCGCATAGGGCTAGATCTACGGAGTACATCTACGTCTACGAGTTTAGTATCTACAACACGGTCTCCGAAAGATATCTCAAAGTCTACTTCGTCGGACATCAATATCTGTATGTCCAATTACTAAGGACTGCCTAATAGTCCTAAGCAGATTGATTGCCCCATCTCAGCTGCACGAGAATCACTCAAAATGCTATAATTAGCGTACTCTCCCACAAAGCCCAAGCAGCTGAATCCTTCAACACAACCACCCTTCGCCATTGGTAACTTGGCATCTTGACTGAAACGCTTGGAATGCAGTCCGTCCAAGCTGACAGTGCTATTATGCTGGAGTCTTGAGATAACGATGCTGTTGTTGACTCGTTAGCGCCAAAACCCGTGTTTATTTTTAGCTAGATGCCTATCCTGATCCTTCGGCCGAAGAGGGGTTGGTCAGTGAACGCTACCTTGGCTCTCACCAGAAATGGGTATAAAAAGGACGATGGAGTCTCTAGGACAGTAGTCTTGAATTTTGAAGAGTTACCGTGTGCCAGCTTTGATATTTGTTGATTATTTCACTGAGCTATGGTCAATCATTGCTAGGGATTACCCACCAACTGGTCAACGCCAGCAATATCACCACGCGATACAACATGGTTCGCTCAAACGCCGGAGGGAAAGTGGAATGAAGATTGAATCAACTGTTCAAGGAGGGTATATAAACATCATTTGATGAGTTCAATAACATGCGGTTCATTATGCATAAGGGAAGAACTGGGGAAGGAAAGAGTTTCTGGCAACGGACAGTGGCCTGCACTGGAGTATGAAGACCATTCACATTACTCGATCAGTACTCTTTTTTTTTTTTTTTTTTTTTTTTTTTTTTTTTTCAACAAAGCCCATGGATTGCCATACACCAGCAGGTCAGCAAGGGAGCAATGTCGACCTTTACTCACAGCCTCTCAGCTTATTGTTTCTGCGGAGGTGAGATACTGCGCTCAGGAAAGTATGTCTGAGGGTGATAACCCTTCTCCTGCTCTGGAGAATGTGTGGTAGATGGGACTGTGACAGGAGATTCGCTGATTTCAACATAATTGGACTTGGAGAATCCCACCTCCTGAGTACGGCCGTCTGTGTCGACAAAGTTGAAGCCATGTCCAGACCCTGGATGGTGCACCGGTTGGCTATACATTCCACCGTTGGCGGGATCAGCCCACGCCCCGTGAGCTGGTGTACTGATGGTGGTATCGTTCCACCGCGCATGAAGATGGTCCGAACGACGGTTCTTGCGAGCCTGCTTGCGGCGCCAGCGGATAAAGAAGAAGCATCCCACTGCGAGGATACAGATCAGGATCACAAATCCCAGAATCGGGAGCGCAATGATCAGAGCCAGGCGGCTGGAGTCTGAGTTGGGCTTCGCGGAAGGAGAAATCAGGTCCACTGTGGATTGGGGCAGCAATGACTCGCTGAAGACTCTACTCGGGCTAATAGGAAAAGCTTTGCTGGTAGGGGTTCGGAAGTGACAGTTGTAGCGAAGAGCTTCTAGGACTGCGTCGTTCGCAAGGCTGTCAGTAACCGGGAATTCAGACCGCAATACGGTAAGAAAGGGAAAGCAACACACAATTGGCAAGGTAGACCTGGGAATCGGTCATATTGCTAGTCAAGTTGTAACAGAACTCGCACTGGCTGATGACATTGTCCGCGAAAGACGAAGCACCACACCAGGTATCGAAGTTGACTCCACTCGGATCATCCAAGTCATACTCTAAGGCCGATGATAATGACTGGCAAGAAACCACGCAGGGAGAAGAGATATTGGCAACCTGTTCAGGGAAGCCGTACACGCAGCTGCTGAAGGCATACCGGAGATTGTCTGAAGCTTCGCATTAGCGACTACATGTCTCATTGTCACCCAAATGTCGGATATACGTACAGAGGCCCCAATCGACATCCGCCTGCCCGGACGACGAATCACTGTAAGTGCTCTCCAATTGGCACTCCACGCAGTTTTGAAAGTCGGACCCCTTCGTGGTCTGGCTGAACTGCTCGTCCAAACAAACGATCTCAGAAGCTGTAGTGTTCGAGGACACTTCATTGCAGACATTAGCACACGGCGAGCCGGGTGTCGTCCTCAACCCGATAACCGCAGGTGTAAGGTGACCGAGGAGCAAGAAAGCAGCCGCCAAAAGCGACGTAGATTCCGGCTTTTGGCTCAAGCCGACCATCTCGAAGGATGGGCCGGACCGATCGATCCAGGCTGATGCCAATCAATCTATTACTGTAGGTCCGAGGAAAGAATAGGCGACACGCCGTAGGTTCGATAACCGGGCATCGAATTGGCAGCGCACTGATCGAAACCGATAGCCCAAGGAAGTAGAAAAGAGAGGAAATAGCCGGTCAAAAGAGTAAAAGTGAAGGCAAGTCACGTCCTTGAGTCAGTTATCACCATCGCCAGGTTGACATCTTGGTACTCCTCGTGGATTGATAAAGAACCCGACCGGAGGCAACGCGCTGCAGCATGGTCAGGTCGACTTCCTCCTTCCAGGATCTGTCGGGACGTCGCTCGTAGGGTGCAGGCTAGTCGAGGACGATTAAGCATGCACCATGAGCAATGGTGCTTGTCTGGGCGCTAAGACACACGCTCGCAGTGGCAGCGAACATTGGCTAGTTATTGGACTACCATCATCCTTCCGCGACTGGTTGGAAGAGAAGCGGGACCGGGGCTGGTGCTGAAGCCAGTCACCGTCCAGTAGTAACTCTCCATGGCCATTTGAAATTGTCCTGGGAGCAGGATTCGGAGTGTGATGAGAGTCGACAAAAGACTGGAGATGTGACTGTGACTGGGCCTGCAGCTTGTCGCATCGGCTCACGTTCGCCCTGGCAGGAGGATATGATTCGTCGATCACCAGCAGACCCCTCATTTAAGTGCACCAGAACATCATCTACCTTCACACTAGACAGGTACAAAGTACTTTACAGGTAGATAGTACTAGCACTCGCTCGTCATTGTTTGCATCCTTGATTGGACGAACGATGTTCATCTGTAGATTGCGGGTTGCTGGGTTCCATCTTTTTGTGCTCGGAAGTACAGTGCCGATATTATCTGAGTCCAGATCATCTAGACATCCTGTGCAGGTACCTACTGCAGTCTAGCAAAGGTGATGGACAAGTAGGTCAGTGATAATAGCCGCTTGTACTGGATACAAAGCAGCTACCTCGACTCATCCCTGCATCACGACTTCACTAATCTGAGTCAACAATAATCTGCCCCCAGCAAATAAAATAATTCTCCATGGTTTCCATGATAATGGCATGATATGATAAGGAATGATCAGAAAACCCCCTATCCCTAACAAATTCATACATGGTAGATACTGGCCTATCATTCTCCGGGCCTGCCCGGTTTGTGCTGAGAAGAGAAGGCTAGACAGGCACCTAGACCAAAAATGAAGGGGCCTCCCAGTTGGAAAAGATAAGACTCCAAAATGCAAATTGTATGTCCTATTGTGCTCTCGCTGGTGGCACAAAAGGTAACGAATCATAATAATCATTAAGAAAATCCTCGAGCAGAAACCCATCCTCCAGCCAGAAGGCCTCATGTAAATGAAGGCCTGTTATAACGGAAATGGTGATTGTAGTAGGGAGGGTATGAAGATCGAACACAAGCACTACCCGTACAGCTCATCGTAGGAGGGTACCAACTCGGGCTCGCGGACTGGCTCAGTCTCTCGATGCTTTGACCGACGAGCGAGTTTCTGGTCTTGAAACGGAGAATGAGACATATGTCGAGAATCCTCAGGTGGAACTGACGGTACCGAGGACGTAAAGCTCGTATGCTTAGAACTCGTGGTCCCCGAAACCGATGCTGTCGGCTCGGTGACGTTGCTTTGCTGACTGCGTCGGCGCATTCGCGAGGTGACAGAGAGCGGCGGCGACTTGGACGCTCGTGTATAGTCATCCATATGTGCACTGAGTTTGAGACGGTTTAATTCTTTTAATTCTCGCGGAAGCCGTTTGGGCCCCTTTGGCGGTGGAATAACGTCTTCATCGGCTTCATCGCTGGAGCATATTTCATCCCAAGGATTGACAAGTCCCTTCTGCTCACTTACAATTCCGTGGTGCTCTGACATTTTCTGCGGGGATAGTTCTTTTGTCGATCGACTCCGTAATTTCGCATCGTAGTGTCCGGTGGGGATTGTCGTGGCAGAATCGACTGACGATTCTCGTCCTTCCGAGTCCCCAGAATGCAAGGTCGGTTCGGGGCGAGAAGAATTACTTTCTCGATGTCGAGTCTCTGGCGAACTATGCCTTCGACGTTGTTCCGAAGGCAGCTCAGCGGCAACATTCATGTTGATGCTAGAAGGCTGGTCCCACTGACTCCAGGAGCCTTCGGTGGGATAAGTGATGGATACATCGCCCCATCGAGAATGCAGTTCGGAAGAAAGCTTGCGCTTCCTCCTCAACTTGCGAATAATGGCCGTCATGATGGCGATAGGATTTTTCATAGAATGTACCCCAGAAGAGAAGTTCACTTCTTGAGAAGGACTCGGACCCGCAATAATGCCACACCGTCGGGAAGGCAAAGTTGTAGCGACTGACGCTGAAACTATGTATTCCTCTCCTACAGAGACTCCCCCGAGTGAGTCAAAAGGGAGTCAGGCTTTGTAGGGAGAGGAAACAGGAGTGATACTGGACAGCCGACGGCCTGCATGGGATGAGGAGAAATCATAACACACCCATCAGGCACAATCAAATGACAGCCACATAGCTCTATGTGACATGATCCGAATGGAAAGATCCTGAAGAAGTCCGCTCGAGTAGACGGGACCGTAGGACGGAAGTCATGCGAGACAAAGACGCGTTACAGACCCGACAGTTTGGTTCAACCCCCCTTCAGGTGAAAGTCAACGGACCGCCGCCTGGAAACTTCCCAAAGAAGATCGTCTTTGGGCATCGCGGCGGTTTTGGAGCGGCACGCAGAATGACAGACGGTGACTGGTCCTGAAGACCCCGGCAGAGCACCTTTCTAGGCAGGGTAGAGAGCAGGCTACAGTCTCTGGCCTGCAAGCCATAGTATTAAACGAGAGGGGTACGTCGCGGAAGGAGTAAGAAACATTGCAAGGAAAAAGAAATTGCGGCGTAGTCACCTTACAGCTCTTGCCGACGCAGCCAAGCGATCTTGGATGTTGGTCAACTACGTTGCACACAACGACGCCTGCAGCTGTCCGCCTTCTTGGCGTGGCGCTTGCTCATCATCTACTGCTCGAAGCAGGACCAGGGGGCAGCCGTATCAATCGATTAAGCCTCGAGAAGATGTGGGACTTTCGCAAGGGCGCAGTGAAAGATGACCAACTATGTGGAGACTAAGCAGGTAGCATCTTCCAACGCCGCGGTTGACTCTCGTCGATAATCGCATCCACGATGAAAACCTCCGTTCCTCTGCATCGTGCCCCAATTGCCAGGCAGTTGCCTAGATGGTCAGACTACGTAATCTAAAGACAGGTAAGTCGTCAACGTATGTTTTAAGGGTCAGGATGCGGCTGAGGAAAAGGTTCGACCAATTCTTGGGGGGGAAATCTCCGTGTGGATGTCATGTCTCACTTACTGGGATCTGCTATTCGCACGCCCCATGATGCTCATCGCTATCATATCATATCATCGTGTGGGTAACTGAAAGGGGATGGATACTTGAGACAGACAGGGATCATCAGCAAAAGGAGGGGCAAAGCAACGAGCTGAAGCTCGATCCTCAAACAGGAAGGCCCTTAGCCTCTTCCTCCCATTGCCCCAAGCGGAGTACTGCATCCACCATATTTTTCCGTGTTTTCTTATTCAGAATCAGAACCGACAAGTCATCGTAATAATATCGCTAACTGGGTTGGACATCGTCAGAGTGGAACCAACACTCGGCGATTATTTAGCGTATTGTTGTTGGTTGAGAAGCGAACAAGCACAAGGTTGATCGTCCCGCAGTCCGTAAATCCGTCGAGGGGGCCAAGTGAACCGAACCATCCACAGAGCTTAACTACGCGCCGTGATGGAGCATCAGCTCATGTCTGATTAGTCTAATCACAGTCATTCCGTGTTGTTGTCCCCTAGGCTGAAATTCCGGACTGACTGAATCTAGGCGAATAGAACGAAATCGTTCTCAGCACCTCGACAAGGGAAAGACATCATCGACTAACAACTGTGCGACCAGGACGAATAACTCGCTTTTTCTCCGTTGTTCCGGCCGAATTGAATAACACTACGGAGTACGTACTCTCTCGATCTCATCCTGTCAGTCCTTAGCAAACTGGATCCACGCTCGTGACATTCGAAAGGACAGGGATATATATTGGCAGTCAAACGTAACCCGCACATGCCAAGCCGCCTCAGATCAGGGTCTCGAACGTGAATGCGTGTACTCAGTGTTGACACTCCTCAAGTCCGATCGAATGTAACCTCGCAGCTGCTATCAAGCTTGGCTATGGCATGGATCCGTGAAAGAGACACTTGCACGCTTATATCGTCAATGCGGAGATTCTCGGGGACACCAGTCGAGCTATTTCCACGAATTGGCCCATGAAATGACAAACTACGCTTCCGCTTTGGAATATTGTCCACAGGGAGTGCAAATCTCCCATGTGAGAGAGAGCAAGCCAATTGTGCGGTTGGTGTGTCAAGACGCAGATCTTATGGCACTGCTAGATTTCCCCACTGTTTGTATGAAGACGGTGCAAATTTTTCAGAGCAAGGACCTCTACTGGTCTCGCAACTTGCTGCTATGAGGCAATGGCTCGAGTCTACTTTTGGGGAGGCTTCGTACCCTGGACAAGCTAGGATTCTTGACATGTAGACGTAGCAAGTAGAAGTTGTTATACCTCTGTGATCCTATATCGCATCTCTTAAGCAAAGCAATTCAGCCCAACCCACTGAACCGAGCAAAGTTCAAGCAAATCTAGCCATTCAACAAAAATATATCGCATGAGCGATGCAAATCACAAGCCAAACACACCAACGCTTCGAGATCCTCTGGCTGTTATCCTCTCGAACAAGCAAAGCGACCGAAGCACAAAGAGCAACCAGCGACCAGCACAGCCCTTCCGCGCCGCACATTTCACCAAATAATGAAATTGCCTTTGATGATAGCATTAAACTGAAACATCCTCGGCTCCATGTCGAGATACCGGCCACCCGCATCGTTCTCAGCGTCCTTCCAGGATGCAGGCAAGATCTCCCCGTTTGCTCGCCATTCGAGATCTGTCATTTGCAAGGGAGCAAAGCTGAGTCCAGCCCTCCTGGCTAGTACTTCCGCTCTTCGACCTGCATCCTTCATTGCCGATTGCGCAACCTCGAACTCTAAAGAACGGATCGTCTCCCTGCTGAGCAGCCAGTGAAGTTCCAATATTTCAACGCCCTTATGGTCATCAAGCTTCTTCGCCACATGGCGCATGAAGTCCACATCTCCGAAGCCCATTCTGTACGTCGTCTGAGAGCGGTAGATGCGCGCGCGTGCCGACCTCGGATTAGCATTTGGGGCAACAGTATCGCTTTTCCATTCCGACCAGGTGCGAGTGGGTTCAAAAACATGAATCGACCGTGGTGGGAATGCCCGCGTTAGGGCTTGAGCACAAGCTATTTCCTTCCTGATAACAGCTCCATTGGATGCGGCGGAGAGATTCGTTCCGAAAACAAGAGCGGCCTGGTCAGCCGGGTGTTGCACAGTTGCGAAACCATACAGGCATAGGCACCCTGCTACCATTTCATCCATGCTGACCCGCAAATGGGTGTCCGAGTGAGTCCGTTCGCCTGTGTACCGCGTAACGAGAGTAACACTGAAATAAGAATAGGTAATATTATATGGCAGAGACGAGGAAATAGGGCATTAAAGAGATGTCTCCGCCGGACGTGTTGTCTCGAGAGACTAGAAGAGAATACGTCGAGCTGAGAGTGTCTTGAGGTAGCGGACTTTTAGTCTGCACTTTCCTTCCACATCATGCGCGATGAGGGCAAAGATAAAAGATAAAGGAAGGAGGTCGTTCGTCCCATTCAGTCCTCATGATGATTCCTTCCTCTCGCCTATATTTTTGACTATCCTCGGGGGACTCGCGAGCCTATCATTATTGACGTTATTTGTCCTAGTATGACTGCTTCCTATTGCTGAACGCAGCCTTCAGGGTCGACCCTGCTGAATCAATCATGAACTGGAGCCTCTTCCACGAGCCCAGGGCTCTGAAACTTGGAAGTCCTCCAGATTGCATGTTTTGTTTATGAAGTCGTTGTCATTATTTCTGCTGCTTCTGAGCCAGTGATCACGAGAACAACAAGAGTAAGAAAACCCAGGACCCAACACCATGCGCCATCGCTAATATCCATTTACGCCGTCCAAACAGACAGAGACATCCGCCTAACGCCAGAATCATGGTCAATTGATACGAACAGGCGTCTCATCATTAGTTGAGATTTGTGATCAACCTCGAAAGCACCGGTTTTGGTCTCCTAGGTAGCCTTGCCGTCCGATCGAGTGTGCTCGAGTCTGCAGGAGCCACAGTGGCTTGGAAGAGACTGTCTGATTGTATCGAGTCTCGTGTCGAATCTGGTGAGGTTCCCCGAAATACCGGCCCTGGTGGCTGCAATAGCTGTGGCAATGGCGAGTCGTCGTTTGGATGTGAGACAGGCTGGTTGCGAAACTGTGACGAAACTCTTGCAGGAGCATTATCGGCTGGCTGCAATGGTGGTTGTCTCATCGCAGAGAACTGCACGGCTGGTGGAACATTTATATCTCTGTACCTGGACGGGTCATAGACAGGTACATGCAAAGTCTGATATGCTGGTGGTCGGTCACTGATGTCGTCAGAGTGGGCGCGGTAGACGGAGAGCGAAGATGACGGCCGACCCCGCATAGTTGCAAGCTCAGCATCCTCTGACTTCAACCCTGCCTGGATATCATACTCGAGGAGTTGTTCTTCGCGTCGACGAATACGATCCCATCTGCGTTTCTTATAAAGGAAGAAGAGTATGCCCGCGGTGACTGATACAGACTTGTTAGCATTGAAACACGCAGAGGACCCTAGCTTGGTAAAGGAGAGTCCTACTTGCAATGGCAGCAACGCCTCCAACAACCACTCCGATGATTATCGCGGTGACATTGCTGGAGCTCCCCGATCCTGAACCATCGGTTGACGTCGACGAGGCGTGATCGGATTCAACGTGACCTGAATAGTTGGTATCACGAGAAATGACCATACTGACAGTCGTTCTTCAGAGAAAAGAAGCAATGCTTGTTCGATACCAATCACATATGCGAAACACTGAGAGGACCCTGATCCGCCTCGCCAGCCTCTCCATCAACGCTGTCGGATCACCCCTCTACGATGAATGGAAACAAGAGAGTATTTAAGCCCTGTCATATTGATAAGCTCGGGCCTGATCACGGTCCCTTGTTTCAGAACCATGAGTTTAAAGTTATTTTGGGGGTCAAACAATGCGGGATTGCGGTAGT